CTATCCGCCTACGACATTTAGCTCTCCTGGCTGTTTCAATAATGGAATCCATGCGAAAATTGGTATGGCATAACATGACTGTATGACACGCATAAGTGACTAGTCATAACACGAAAGTCATCACACGTATGTCATGAATGCCATGATTTACATGTCATGATCTTGCTGCTCTTGTGATGGTTTCGTTCACATGACATGTTGCAAAACTGGTATCGTATGACATGACTGCATGGTAAATAAAAGTGACAGGCCCTAACGTGGAAATCATGACATGCATATCATTTCAGTCATGACTGACCGCCACGCTCATGATGCGCTCCCGGTCGTCTCGCTAGCTTCACATGTACCAAATTTGATACTACGTGACGTGAATAGACGACAAAGGTAAATGAGAAGTCCAAACGTGATAATCATGACATGCGCATGATGTAAAACATGACTACATGCTACGCTCACAGCGCGCTCGCGGCCATTTTGCTAGCTTCACATATACCAAATTTGGTATTGCATGACGTAAATGAGCGATGAACACAAATGTCAGGTGCAAACATGATAATCGTGACACTGAGTTCAAGCACTAAGTAATTTACATGCCTACCACTGCTGATGCTAGTATTGCAAACGTTAGTGGTGCCATCGTTACGCTACTATAAACAACATACTTGCATCTTATCTAAATACTTGAGTGTGCGTAACATTTTTACTTGTGTTTACTGCGTACTACATTCATCCGCCTCGTAACGTTGTGCTAAATATAAAGTGACATTTTGACCTTTCTCATTCGTGCATCGCATGTCATACATTCCCACTGTACGTGGGATCTGCCAATATTTTCTCTTGCGCAACGCCGCGATGAGCGCCAGTGTCATCGCAGCCGCCATAGTAAACATTAGCACCCACTACTTCGCATCTACATAGGGTGCCCTTTCATAGGATATGGCGTAATTTTTTATAGTATACGCTAGAAAAAGTGTCGTTCATAGCTTTGCGTTTTCTGAAACTATTTTGCATTATTTCTTTTCTTCTTCTCCTTCAGTCGTGGCATTCTCGCTTCGCTTACTCTACCTTAATGCCTCGACAGTCTGATGTTCTTAAACATATGCATTAAATATCAATTACAAAAAGTTGGCACTGAAAGGTTTCCCTGAAATCGTTGTCGAAAGACTATAGTCTTGCGTCTGGAGAGAGAGTGAACAACACGTTTATGTAATGTTCTGCGCGAGAAAATCAGTTAATTGTGTTCTGGAGCCCCTGCGTTAGAGAGTCTCGATCCGTACAGCGAAGGCGAACGAGCGCACCGAGACACGTTAGACACGAGCGCTATCTGGCACCTATCTTCGAAAACGAAGGAAGGCGTGCGCGTCTGTCTCGGAGGCGATAAGGTGTAGAACGCAAAGCGACGGGCAGGTCTCCGGACTCGCACACCTGCTGGAGGCGAAGAATGCGCTGAGAGCGCGATGGAAAAAGCAGAACCTAAACAGAAGGCTGTGACCTAAACTAAGAGAAATAAAGAGATCGAAGTACATTCCAGATAGCTGAGTGCGCAACACTGGGACGAGGTTTGTGATGAGGTGGATGCTAAAATTAAACTGGGAAGCAAGTGGAGCCTTCTGAAAAACCTATTCGCCGACAGCAACAAACCGACCAAGAGCAATGCCCGGATAATGTCGATAGAGTCGTACATCTGCACACGAATGAAATCACTAGTCTCCAGGACCTTGCTAACACCCTGGAATACATGTACCTGCCGACAGAGAGAAAATCAGTCTTCAGGCATGACGAGACACGCGAGCACAAAGGGACACCTCACGCTCGCTGGATCATCTATTTGACGTCTCGGAGATTGGGCACGCTCTTCTTGGCCTAAACAGCCGCTCGGCCACTGGTCCGGATGGAGTCACTAACAAAGTGCTCAGAAATCTAGATGACCAAGCCATCCAAATCATTACGAACAAAACAAACGAAATACGGACTGCGGGCTCTGTACCGCATGAACGGCAAACTGCCAATGTATTTTTCATTCCCCAACCCGAAAACCACTCCATGCCGAGAACTTGAGAACAATTTACCTTACTCCGTGTTTAGAAAGGTCGCCGAATATGCCCTTTACAACAGAATTGCAGAGCACATCGAATGAAACAGCCTTTTTCGCCACAATCTCATAGGCTTCTGAAAATCACTACCTACACAGGACGCCATGCTCCTCATCAGGAGCGCAGTCATAGACAATAAAACGAGGGACGTAAAAGTAAAATTCCACAACTATGTCAGATCATTTTAGGAGCCAAGCTCCTTAAGCTGTGGGTCGTGTGTCCGCGATGTAGTATGTATGTATGTATATATGTATGTATGTATGTATGTATGTATGTATGTATGTATGTATGTATGTATGTATGTATGTATGTATGTATGTATGTATGTATGTATGTATGTATGTATGTATGTATGTATGTATGTATGTATGTATGTATGTATGTATGTATGTATGTATGTATGCATGTATGTATGTATGTATGTATGTATGTATGCAGTAGTAGTAGCAGTAGCAGTAGCAGTAGCAGTAGGTAGCCACCTCTCGTTTAGTTCTTGGAATGTCCGATGGATGGCGGCACATCTATATGATGAATTTATGATGAAAAGATGCAAGACTGCAGTACTTTGAGTGTTCACCAGATGGACGAACGGACGCACAGACAGACAAGTAGACAGATAGACGGACGGATGGACAGAGAGACAGATTATTGATGGAGGAAGAGACGGCCGCACAGACGGACGGATGGATGGACGCACAGACAAACACACGGACACACACGCACTGATGGACGCACGGACGGATAGATGGACACACGTACGGACGCATGGATGGATGGGAGCAAGAGAGAACGGACGGATGGAAGCGTGGATGGACTGATGGATGCTTTGCCCACTCATCCTTATTCCATGGATATTCTTTGATTTTTCTGACGGACCGGCCACCATAAAACATCGGACAGAACATAAGCCGAAAGCACAAGCTGGGAAACAGCGGCACCACCCAATGGTCGTTGCTTTCACCGCTTCTTCTCAACATCACTATGCACAATCCGTTGAACTAACTCTCGAAAGTCCAGGAGGTAGGACACACGACTTACGCGGGTGACATTACCGTCTGGTCTGCAAGCGGCCCACTAGTCAATCTGGAGCAGGAACTACGGCATGCGCTGGATACCACAAGAGCTTTCCTTCAAAATACGGGGATGAAGCTATCTTCCAGCAAATCAGAGCTCCTTTTGTGTAAACACAGCCCCAGGAAGGTACAGCTCCTTAGCTCCCTCCCTGTTTACCTACACATGAAAGATGGAGGCAGTATCCCAAAATACAACACAATCAAGGTCCTGGCATGGTCGTTGGTGCTGACAGCGGTGACAACATGTAGGCCCTCAAAATTACAGAGAAGAGTGTCCTCAACTTAAGCAAGGTCTTAACAAGGGTCTCCGGTAGAAGGGCTGGTCTGAAAGAGGACAACCTCATGTGGGCATTTCAAACCTTTCTCATCAGCCACGTGACGTATGCTGCCACATTTTTCAACTTACTGAAAGAATACAGATCTCAACAAAATTACTACATCAATTAGAACAGGATTGAAAACGGTCCTGAGCCTCCCTCGCAACACTTGTACGGAACGACTCCTCCAGTTGGGCGTGCACAATACAGCTACCAAACTCTTTGAGGCAAAGCGGCATGCATAGATTAGTCGGCACTCACTCTCAGTGGTGGGCAACGAAATTTTTTCAGAAGCTGACTTTCAGACCCTCTTTATGCCACCAGTGAAGCCCCAACTTTGCACACACGCCATGAAAGTGATAGCAGTTGATCCGGTTCCCAGAAACATGCACCCGGCCTAGAATGAAGAACGCTAAAAGCGATAGCCAAGGCAATATTCGCCAAGATCACACGCAACGATGCACGAATCCTCTTCGTTGATTCTGCAAAATATTGGAATCGAGGCGCCTACGCAGTCTCCGTGGTGGACGCCCACGGCTCGCTTGTACACTCGGTATAGTAACCAACTTCACCCACGAAGCAGAGGAAATGGCCATTGCGCTTGCGCTTCGAAGCTGCACGGGAGCGCCTGTCATTTGCTCGGACTCTAGAACAGCTATAAGAACGTTTTCGGCGGCCCTGGTCTCTTCCAAGGCAGCTACGGTTGTTAACAGGCTCTTCAACCACGAGACGAAAGAAAAAAAATCCTGTCCTCACACATCGCAAGGTAAACATGGGAAACATTCCCGGCTTTCCTGGCTGCAATCCAAAGGAGCGGGCACCGAGAACTCACTTTCTGCGTCTGCGGTGCGCCGCCTTGCTTCAATGCATCCAGCAAGATCCTCGACCACAAAGACCTTCTCGTATAACATCCCGAACTCACCTCTCATCATAGATTAGAACGTCGAACTTTTCCTCACCCTCACACAAATCTCAAAGGAGCACAAGCAATAACTTGCAGATAGTTTCAGGCCCGTACATACACCACACCAACGACACTAAGCAGGATAAATCCTGACTTCTCTACTGTATGTCCACACTGTGGTCAAGAATATAACGATTCCAACCACATGTTCTGGCTGTGCTCTGCCAACGTGCATACAGACTTATCTGACTAGTGCTCCTGGGGCTCCGCCCTTCAAAGCACAGAGCTCATCGCTCAGCTCAAGGCTGCCCAGAGGACTTGTGCCGTCGGCGAAGAGCTTTGTTTACCAGTATCGACCTGTGTGGAGCTGCCGGATTGATTGGCGGGACTTTCGACACCGCTTTCTTTCTTTTCATGACCACAATAATGTTCATACTCACTCACTCAGTCGTTGGTGCCCGGTATTACGCACCTACACGTGATTTCTTTAGCGGGAGATGATGTAATTTAATCAAACCAAACCGTTCGTAGCAATTGTCAGTTATAACAACAAAATGTTTACGGCTCTTGAGTGTATATATTTGTAGGTTCGATCGTAGTGAAAGCGGTATACCTTTCTTGTGCGGCGCTTCGGAGAATCCGTATCCTGGAATGGAGGGGCAGATGACTTCGAATGCGACCCCCTGCTTTGGAGTCGCCAGTTCTTTGGCGATTTTCAGGAACTCGACCACAGATCCCGGCCATCCGTGGATCATCAGCAGTGTGTACACTTTGGTCTGCATCAAATGAGACATACGGAATAACTCGCAACTAGCAGCCGATGCATGGGCTCGGCTGCCGTTCCCCACGCCTTCAAACTTTGAACTACAAGCGATGAAAGAGAAACAGCACTAACATGTAGTCTTTCATAAAATTTCCAAAGCACAATATTGGCGATGCAAGTAATATCGGGGAGATCACGCAGGCATTCGCCGTCGTAACTATCAGGTGATGCTGACAGTGAAGCCACCAATGATCGCTCTCGTATGTGAACGATCAAAACGTCCTGTCAGGTCCTTTCAGGGATACCGCATCCGCTCATGTTAAGAAAGGTGGTGGTCGTATATAGGCATGTGCAGGAGGGGGGAGGCAACGGCTTATCGCAGCGCCCCCCCTCTACGTATTAGGTCTATGAATGGGCATGGCCGCTTGATCTCGCCTCTTTGATGAGGCCTGCCGAGTCATCTCCCGAACAAAAGAGCGCGCATGAAAAAAAAAATTGACTGAGAGGTCACGACAGTAGGTGAGGGCGCTGCCTATTGGCGAGGTAATCGCCCTAGCACTACACGTCACACAATATTTATTTTATTATTTTATTTGTGGAATACTGCAGGCCAAAAGGCCCAAGCAGGAGGGGCACAAACACAACCACAAGATCAATACATGAGTGACACAGCTTCACTAAAATACATCTGTGTAGGAGAAGGGCGAAAAGAAGAGAAACATCAAAATAAAAAAAATCAAGCGATATTGGGAGGGGGGGGGGGGGTCAAGATTCACAGAATAAAACATTGGGTTCATCAAGATCGAAGGTTTGGAGGAAATCAGAAGGCAAGTTATTTCATTCTGTTACAGTTCTCGAAAAAAAGGAAAACTTAAATAAATCTGTCCGCGCAAAATACGGAGTTAAAGATCGGACATGAGAATGACGAGTTTGCCTGGTCGAAACTGGGGTAACGTAATGTGATGGGTCTAGCCCAAGTTTATTGTTAATTAGTGAGTCAGAGAATTTTAGACGGAGAAGCTGGCGCCGCGATTGTAGCGTCTGGAATTTGTTATCTCGCATTAGTTCAGTAACTGATGTACCACGACCATACTTCGAGTGAATAAAACGCACTGCTCGTCTTTGAATCTTTTCGAGGGAATATATGTTAGAATTAGTATGCGGATCCCGTACAATACAAGCGTATTCAAGCTTTGGACGTATTAAAGTGTTATAAGCTAATAGTTTCACTTGCGACGGGGCGTCTCTGAGTTTGTGCCTTAAAAGACACAGTTTACGGAAAGCCGATGACGAAACATCGGCAATGTGTGCATTCCAGGACAACTTATTCGTTATTGTTATAGTATAATACCAGTCATCATCTCTCTTTTGTCACAGGCGTCTCCTGCCGTCGTGCGGTCAGCATACGATGCCATTTTGTTCTTCCAGACTGCTGTAATGATTGCAACTCCACGCCCTTTATCAAGAAGCTACTGAGCTCATTCCTGGCCGTCCGAGTGGAGGTCTTAGCAGCTCGCAAGAAAACATACTCCGACATTTACGGAAACCGCTTTTTCACAAAGTCCTCCGTTCTTGAACTGTTGCAATATTTGAGAAATAAATTATGCCGTCCGTGAGACTGAGTCATAACTGATAACTGTTTGTATCATATATATATATATATATATATATATATATATATATATATATATATATATATATATATATATATATATATATATATATATGATTAAAAAAGAAATTCTGTTGGTCTGGTGCAAAAATAATTAGGAATAAAGGAGCACACCTACGAAAATTTGATAGTTGTTTACTCTAGGTTTCCACCGTGGCAGGCCTTCGTCAGGATTAACAGAAATACGAGTATGTGGCCACTTTGATGGGAAGGCATGAAAACGTCAGTACAAAACACGTGCGATAAGCATGTGAGTATCACAAATATTCCTTGAAATAGCCGTGACTACACTAAAAAATCATTAAAAAATGTAATACCATAGACAAGATTGTGGGCATGTAAAAGGCATTTGCAACATTAACCATTGACAACAAGGCTCACGCATGAAAAAATAAATAAATAAACATGTAATAACCTTTAGGAAGTATAGAATACAATAGGGATGCTTCTTTAAATATTTCTCAAAATTGCGGACGTCAGGGCATCGTGGAAAGGCATGACACTTGGCCTACGCATTCGTTAATGCCGGATAACAGGCTGTTGAATTTGTGAGTCAAGAATGATTCTCGAATTTCGCGATCATGGTGCGATTTAAAGCCCGATTCTAATAGTGTCACCATAACCTTGTCAAACGAATGACCTGGTAGATGAAAATGCTTGGACAATGGAAGATGTGGCAAACTGTTTACGTGTGATTTGTGGTTGTTGAAACGGATGCGAAAAGATGTCTCGGTTTGACCGATGTATTGCCTGTGGCAGATTGAGCATTCAAGTAAGTAAATGATGTTGCTGCTATCGCAGTTTAAGTCCCCTTTAATCCTAAGTGAAAAGTTAGATGCCGTGCTTTTAGCAACAGTCGCAGTGGTCATGTGCGCACAAACTTTACATTTCGTTTTTTTACAGGAGTGACAACCAACTGGAACAATGAATCTAGTCTTGGAAGAAGTTACCATGTCGTGCAAGTTCCTTCATTTCCGATATACAACCCGCGGTGATTCAATGAAGATGTCCTTAAGCCGATCGCTCATTGTCAGTAAGTTGTATTGTTTTCTGAGTATATGCGACACGTCAGGAATAGATGCAGAATGCGTTAAAACGAGGTTGGTTCGGGAAGGTGGCGCTAATCGCTTGTCATTACTGATGAGCTCTTTCCGATCGAGGCATTTGGCCCGTTGGAGAGCGTCGTCAATTATTTGTGAAGGATATTGTTGTTCGGTTAATGCTTTACGCAGCTGGTCACACTTGCGAGTGAAATCCCTGTTGTCCGAACAAATTCTTTTAAAACGGATAGCTTGGCTATAGGCTATACTTGTTTTGCAGTGTTTGACATGACTACTTTTAAATTAAGATATCTTTGTCGGTCAGTGGGCTTCCTGTATAGGTTTGTCGTTAGTTTACCATTGCTTAAAGCTACATTGACGTCAAGGAAGTTTATGGTGACTGGTGAATAAGAGTGGGAAAAGGAGATGGATGGTTCCACTTTGTTGAAGTCTGCAATGAAAGAATATAATGCCGCTTCACCATGGTGCCAAATTAAGAAAATATAGTCAATGAAGCGTTTGTAATAAAGTGGTTTAAGGTCACGAGTGGCGAGAAAGTTATTTTCTAGAAAGCCCATGAAGATTTCCGCATAATTGGGACCTATTTTTGTGCCCATCGAGGTGCCGCTGGTTTGAACATAATGTTCACCGTTAAATTCAAAGTTGTTAAGCTCGAGTATCAGTGATAAAATAGTGCCCAAGGTGGAACCATCGATGGGTTTGTCGTTTACCGAGTCATTGTATGCTTGGAGTACAGAACGAATCCCGTCCGCATGGGGTATATTTGTGTACAGTGACACCACGTCTAGTGTGACCAGAAGAGCCTCACTCGGAACACGCATTTATACAATGTCACGCAGAAAGTGATTAGTGTCCTTGATATATGAAGAAAAGTTAGGAGGAATTGAACTAATTAGGCTGTCTGCATATCGAGACAGGCTTTCTGTGATGGTTCCTATTCCTGAAATTATTGGCCAGCCTAGATTATCTTGTTTATGAATTCTAGGAAGCAGATAAAATCTACCAGCTACCGGACTCAGGGGGACTAAGGATTTAGGCGCACTTTCTGGAATTTTAATTTTTCTTACAAGCTTTTTTAAGGTTTCTTTCACTTTGGTCTTGGATTCCGCGGTTGGGTCGTAGCTCAAATGTCTGTAAAATGTGTGGTCATTTAATCGCCTGTGGGCCTAACGAAGGTGATCAGCCTTATTCATTTTAACGGTTGCTCCCCCTTTATTGGCCGGTTTGATGACGATGTCGTCTCGGCAAGCCAGGGTCTGGATCGCTTGTTTTTCTTTGTCGCTTAGGTTGCGGTGAAACGGCGATTGTTTCTTGTATACTTCAAGTACATATTGCTGCACTGCTCGGATGTAAATGTGGAGACATTTATCTCTTTGGGAAGGAGGAGTCTAGTGCTTAGTAGAAAAAAAATGCTGTTTTGATAGATGGAGGCCGATTATGAAAGTATTCGCGTAAACGCATGCTTCTTTCAAAATTGTGTAAGTCACTGATTAGTTGGAAATCATTGTATCGTCCAGTGGCAGGACAAAAGTTCAATCCACGGGAGAGAATGCTCAATTCTTCAGCCGATAACGTGGCACTAGGAATATTTACTATGTTTACAGCTTCTGCGGAGGACGAATGCACTGAAGTTGTTGCTTCATCGGGAGTGCTGACGCTTGTGCAAATGTTATCGCGCATCAGCTTTTTATATTTTTTGTCGCCGAGCTCGCGTGTCTTTTCTTGCCTGTAGTTATCAAGTGACGCTCTTTCATCGGCAGTGAAATCCCGCGTAGCAAAGAGCTGGTTCGCTTTGTTCCTTAGATGTTTTCCGGATGACTCATAATGGTTAGTGACAATGCGCGTGAGTTCCAGAGACGCTTGTTTGGGTGTGTTGTCCCACCTGGAGAGATTATTGCTAGTCATTTCAGACATAGCAGGCCTTAAGTTAAGGCTTAAACCTTTAGGTACTGTTGATGTAGCAATATACATTTTTAAGTTGGAAGCATGCAGGTCGCAGCGAATACGCTTTTCGATTACTTTTCTAAGCTTCAAAAAGTGCACTGAGGCATATCCAAAGGGAGTCTTGCCACGGCTAGGTGGTAGTCATTCGGTTGCTTGGGTATGTTCAGGCCGCTTGCTTCTGAATTGGTACCTTGACTGGGACAACGTGGCACCGCTGGGAGGCGGAGAAGTGGCCGGTGTTGCCTTGCTGCCCACTAGATTGTTTGTAACCCTGTAAAAAGACACTGCTTTGTCTGTCATCGTCGTGGTAACTGTCATTTCCGGTGTCTTGTTTCT